GGGAGGGAGGGAGGGAGGGAGGGAGGGAGGGAGGGAAGGAGGGAAGAAGAGAAGGAAGGAGGGAGGGAGGAAGGGAGGGAGAGAGGGAGAGAGGGAGGGAGAGAGAGAGAGAAAGAGAGAGAGAGAGAGAACCCCCAAACACAAAAGCTGTATTAAGAAATAGCATTCCTCTAAAAACTACAAACAACATATGTACCAAACAGTATTAAGGCATCAAAGCTGACATTTAACTAAACTTCTCACAATTTGGTAGTACAACAAAGACTTTGTTGTAATTTGATTACAAAGAACAAAATTAGAAAGAAAAGATTAATTACACTTAAAGAGTATGCCTCAGAAGCCCTTGCAAAATAGTGCATGTATTCATTCCACAATTCTCTACAAAGTATCAATATTATTGAAATTTCATATAGAGCCCAGGACCACCTGCCCAGGACTACCATCCACAGTAGGCTGGGCCCTCCCATATCACCACTGATTAAGAAAAAAAAAAGCCCCATAGCCAATCCGATAGAGGCAATTCCCCAAAAGAGATTCCTTCTTCCCAGATAAGAGTAGGTTTGGTCAAATTGGCAAAAATTTCCAACGCAAACACTTACAGAAGCTAGACACGCTATTTCTTGACACTGGTTCTATTACCAGAATAACTAACGTAAGCATTAACTGGTCTTTACTTTTCAAAGAGTAAGAGGGTAGATAATGTGGATATCAGATGTTGATTAATCAGCACCAATTTTTGGTTACTGGAGTGTTTGTTTGACAGGGCCTTGAACCCATGGCTTACGTGCAACCTCCTGAGCACAGCTGAGTCAGAACTGCTCAGTCAGGTCCCTCTCGCTCACACTTCTGAGATGAATCCAGAGAGAGCAACAGTCCTCTATGTGAACAGCAGCACATTTTCCCAAAGACTTAAAAACAAGACTTTCAAGACAGAAAGGTGGCTCCGTAGTTAAGAGCACTCACTGCTGTTACAGAGGACTGGGACTCAGTACTTAGCACCTACGTGATAGCTCAGAACTAACATTTTAATTCCAGGGAATCAGATGTCCTCTTATGGCCTGAGTGGGCACAAAGCACACATGAAATGCAGGCAAATACTCATATGTACAATTTAAAAAAAAAGACTAAATAAGATTTTCAAAATTTGAGACTGAAATTTCTATCTTGTATGTATATTTTATCAAAACTCTGAAGCACACGTTTTTTAAATCAAGATTTATTACACTGTTCAGTTCAGTGATAGAGCACACATGCTTAGCATGTTGGGAGGCTTAGCATGTTAGGAGGCTTAGCATGTTAGGAGGCTTTAGGTTCAATTTTCATTCCTTCCTTCCCCCAAATTTGGGCAAATTTGGCTGTTTCTTCATATTGTAGTAAATAATATAGCAGTTTCCTGCATGGATGTCTCCTACTAGAGTCGCACCAACTGTCCCCAACTGGGTAAAATTGGAAATATTAGCAAAAAGAAGATATGTAAAACAATTAAATGACAGTTATCATTAGTTATATACAATGCATCTCATTCATTAATTCCAGAATTTTGAATTGAGTACTTTCTATCTACATGTCTTGCTATTTGTAGCTAGGAAGCTATATATTAAAAATCAATATGGTAAAACTTAAAATACAGTCATGTATGACACACATTATTTGTCATATCAATAAGTTATGAG